CGGCCGCGATCCCGCGTAAAAAAGCACTACGATGTACATGGCCGTACCCTAACGGACACGACCCCTTGTAATACATACACAGTGGTGCACCTGACCGTGCTCTCACGGCCACGATCCCTGGTAGAAAGCTAAGGTGCACATGGCCGTGTTCTCACGGCCGCGATCCCGTGTAAAAACTCACTACGGTGCACATGGCCGTGCTCTCACGGCCACGCTCCCGTGTCAAAAATCCATACGGTTCCAATGTACGTGCTCTGACGGCTACGATCCCTGGCAAAAGCTGCACTGAGGTGCACATGTTCGTGCCCTCACGGCCACGATCCCTTGTACCAAAAATCCAATGCGATGCACATGGTGGCTCTCAAGAGGTAGCCATAAAATACTGATACCGCTACTCCCCAGACCTCTCCTGGGGTGCGTTCTGACCAGAATTCGAGGAGAATCCAGTGGTGGCGACGAGGCCCTCCCAGGGGGCTGCAAGAAGGGGAAACGGGCGAAAGGTAGCGATATGGGTACCAAATCCTTCTTTGACCTCCTGGCAACGACCCATTGTGCAAAAAAAGGTGCACAGGGCCGCGCTCTCACCGTCCGAAGACACATAGGAATACATCCTTTCACTGAGACCGACCCCTCCTACGCTTCGACCCGCCTCTTCACCTGTACTGCTGTCGGGGTGATTTTGAGGGGGCCCAGGGACACATACATAAATACACACAAACCCCAAGATCACCCATATTTTCGCATCTTTTCTTAACTTTTGTCTTCCCCCCCTCTTCCCATATTCTCCCATATGTTCTGGGGAGTTGACGATTCGTTGCGTCTGTGCGTTTCTCTCCCTCCTGAGACCTGCTAGAATCATTTGACAATCCCGGGGCCCAACGAGGGCGCCCAGAGGCCGAACACTGCCAACAAAAACCTCCCGTCGTGGGTGCTGGTCCAACGCGAGACGTCTGGGGGGCTGCCCCGATACGCAACACGCAACACGCAACGTGTGGAGACTGAGCTCCACACGCCAACGGAAAACGTGGGCATGACACGACACGTTCGTCAAAACGTGGGCCAACACGCCGAACCAAGACGCGACGTGTTGACACGAGCGTCTTTGAGCACGGCACGTGCTGCATTCCAAAACGGGCGCGTCGAGGCAGCCAAGCCGCGGGGGGGGGGGGCCTCCTGGGGCCCACACCAAGGCAGGGCCTGGCACGGGCCTCGCACCGGCCGCCTCACCTGAGAGCCGACACCGCGAAAACGGTGGCAAACGCGAGAGGAAAATCACCTGTCTGGGTCAGTCGAGGCCTGTGACGGCCCGAGGAGGAGGAGGAGGAGGAGGAGGAGGAGGAGGAGGAGGAGGAGGAGGAGGAGGAGGAGGAGGAGGAGGAGGAGGAGGAGGCCCGAGGTCGAGGTCCAGGGAGGCCGCAGCGGAAGTCGACGCCAGGGAGATTCCCACCTGTCTGGGTCAGCCGAGCCCTGTGACGGCCCGAGGGCCCGCCGGCGGGCGAACACGTCCAGCTTCGGGCGCCGATGCGGGGGGCTCCCGTGGAGGAGCCGGAGGGGGCAGAAAGCGGAGGAGGAGGCGGAGGAGGAGGCGAAGGAGGAGGAAAAGGAGGAGGAGGAGGAGAAGGAGGAGCTCGAGGAAGAGAAGGAGGACGTCGAGGATAAGGATGAGGAGGAGGAGGAGCAGGAGGAGGAGGAGGAGGAGGAGGAGTTCGAGGAGGAGGTCGAGGAAGAGGAGGAGGAGGAGGAGGAGGAGGAGGAGGAGGAGGAGGTCGAGGAGGAGGTCGAGGAGGAGGAGGAGGATTTTGTTTGCCATCCACGGCCAAGGGACCCGTCAGAGCGGGCAAAAAACACCAGGGCCACAACAGGACCCCGATCCCGTCCAGATCAATTGTGACCCCATTCCTCTTCGGGTGGAGTTCCTTGCTGAGTCTGGACCAAACTTCTCTCCTGCGGGAATTATGGGATGACCAGCTCTTGTCGGCGGAGCCTCCAGCAGCCAGCGAAAGGGCGGAGGGACGTGCCTGACAGGGGTCTCCCAATCCACGCAGCTGACCGCCAGATGTGTAGAAGAACCACAACTGGCAGAAAGCACCGATACTGCCGTCGCTGCAGTCTGCGACGATGCAACGGTGGCCTAGGTCTCTGAGAGCCTGAGGCAAGAACTTAACCTTGAGAGTGCACCTCCCTGATGGAGGCCTTAAAACAGAGCGAGAACTTTTGAGGCACTCGCTGTGTTGCCAAAATTTGCCAACCCAGCTCCAGGAGTGCCCAGGACTCAGTTCCCTATGAGGCCCCGCAGGAGAGGAGGAGGTGGAGGAGAAGGAGGACGAGGCGGAGGAGGAGGCGGAAGAGGAGAAAAAGGAGGAGGAGGAGGAGGAGGAGGAGGAGGAGGAGGAGGCGGAGGAGGCGGCGTCCATCGCGGTCCTGCTGCGGTTCCCGCGGGGGCCCGTGGTGCCAAGGCTGCGCCTGCAGGCGGCGGTCGGAGCCGCCGGTGTGGGCCCACCTCGGTGAAGGAGGATCGAAGGACCTCATCCGAGCACGACCGCCTCCCCCTCCTCCTCCTCCTCCTCCTCCTCCTCCTCGTCCTCCTGCTCCAACTCCTCCTCGACCTCCTCCTCCTCGACCTCCTCCTCGACCTCATCCTCCTCCTCCTCCTCCTCCTTCTCCTCCTCCTCCTCATCCTCATCCTCATCCTCATCCTCATCCTTCTCCTCCTCTTCCACCTCATCCTCGAACTCCTCGTCGACGTCCTCCTCCTCCTCGACCTCCTCCTCGACCTCTTCCTCCTCCTCTTCCTCTTCCTCCTTTTCCTCCTCCTCTTCGAGCTCCTGCTCCTCCTCCTCCTTTTCCTCCGTCCTCCTCCTCCAACGAATCGGCACCACTGGGAGACGACAGTGTGCACGCTCGAGCACTCCATGCAGATACGTCTTGACCCATGGAACCGACTGCGAACATCCAGCGAGAATAGACTTGCCCGTGCCAATGACCTGCGAGACGACCCCTTCCACCTCGAGCATTCTAGGGCTAGTGTGCACAAGCATGCCGAAGTAGAGGAGGTGAGGAGGGAAGTCAACCTTCAGAGCCAGCTGCACCAAGAGGGCGGGCACAACAGAGTCAAACAACTTCTCCATGTCCCAATGCAGAGAGGCCGAGTCAAACTTCAAAGCACCTGCAACTTCGTGGCACATTTCGCGCAGAAGCGCTGCTTGCAACGCTGAGGACTTACGCACTGCACTGTCCCAGAAGTCCGTGTGCTCGGCCGTCCATTCATGGATGTGATCACCACGCATACGTGCATACATGCGGTACATAGCGGAACACTTGCTGATTGCGCGCTCGTCGTGCACAGACTTGGGAAGCAACGCCATGCTATTCAAGAAACACTGCTGCGGAAAACCCTGGACCGCTCGCACATATTGAACAGGGCTGCCAGACACTGGACCGCTTGCCACGGTAACTGCAGGAAAGCCCTGGGGACCACTGGTCGACGCCTACAGCTGTGCCACTAGCAAAACACGTCGCCGCCTGCAGGACGTCCCGAGGCTCAAACTCTGGCAGTTCCAGAAGGAAAGTCTGGGCAAGGGACCTGAGCTCACCGAGGGTGTCATTGAGAACCGCCAGGTACATGCAAGGTACGCGCAAATATAGTCTCTGCTCTGCCCGCTGCAGCCGCCGAGTTCTGCCGAGATGTGGACGCACTTGGCTGTTTAATCTCGCCGAAGTCTGCTGCAGCTGCATCGTCCTCTGATCTGGCCAAGGAGTTGTCTGCTAAGTTTGATGAATTTGGGGTCTCTATCTCATTCAAAGGGCAGGTGAAGGATCTGGGGGTCATGACCACGGCGGGGAGGAGGAGATGTGCATGGAAGATCAAGCTGCGCCAGAGGACGGCTTTCAAGCGCTCTCGTAAGCTGGCCTATCTCGCTCGCCTGCGCGGTCGATCCCGCAAGATCTTTAAGCCTGGCGTGCTCAGCGTCGGATCGTGGGGTCATTCTGTGATAGGTTTGACCGTGTCCGATCTGCAGAGTTTCCGATCGCAGGCCGCTAAGTGTTCAGGATACTGGAGTCAAGGTGCATGTACCTCGACCGTCCTCAGCCTGATGAACCCCCTGAGTCAGGATCCTGAATATCGGCTGCGTACCGAACAGTTATCCGCTATTGCTGGTGTATGGCATGCCTTGTCCCCTGGGCAACGGCAAGGGGTGCGCAAGGCGTGGGAGCACCATCGGGCACGGCTCGTTGCTCTCCCGCCTCAGCGCCGCTGGCGCACGGTGGCTGGCCCCATCGCGGCCACGATCTGCGCCCTGCTCGATTTGGATTGGTCGCCCACTTCTCCTACACAGCGGGGCACGCCTTGCGGAGCGCTCTGCTTGGAGGCGCGCGACTTCATGTTTCATCTCCGTGCTGCTGTGCGGCAGTCTGTTTCTCGGGGACATGCTAGCAAAGCGGCTCAGCATTTTTGTGGAGAAGGGTTGGATGGAGGTGCTGATTTCACGGTGTTCCGTAGAATGCATGCTAAGATGATCAAGAATGAACAGTACGCTGATGCCGCATTGCTCGTGTGCATTGTTACGGCAGGTACCTGGCCCGAAGCTCGGCTTCAAGATGCGGGGTACCAAACAGACGGCATCTGTCCTAGGTGTGGGGCAGCGCGGGGAACTAGCCTCCACCGCTGCTGGGAATGCTCGGCCAATGCGCCGATCGTCAGCATCGCGATGCATCGCTCTCTGGACCTTGTCGAGATGGCGAACCAGCCCGAGCATGTCAGGAGTGCGTTCTGGACTCGTGGGCTCCCGCCCTTGGCTGCCGCTGTCGCGCCCATTCCGCCGCCCGTCGAGATTGTGAAGTCTTGGGGCCTCTTCGTGGGGGACCAGGTGGTGCGTGGAGGTCGTTGCGGTTTGGATGGCTCTGGGGGTATTTACGCTTCGGATTGGAGGCTCAGGCGCTGTGGGTGGTCCGTGGTTCGTTTCGATGAGGACAGCCTCCAGAGCTTGGACCTGGCCTGTGACGCCATCCTCATGGGCACCCTTCCCACCGCGGCTCAGTCGAGCCCCAGGGCCGAAATGTATGCTATGATTATGCTGCTGAGACATACTGTGGGAGATATTGTGGCTTACTCTGATTATCTGCCTTTGGTGCGTGGTCTCCGTAGGGACAGGTCTCATATCTCTGCTACGTCGCCTATGCTCGACCTCTGGGACCAGCTCTGGACGCTCCTGGATGCTCGTGAAGGCTCTGTGGAGGTGTTGTGGACCAAGGCCCACTCCACGGCGGGGACTCGTGAGGTTTGGGGCGTCTCTAGGGTCGAGTTTTTCCTGAATTTTGTTGCTGACTTTTTTGCTGGGGAGGCTGCCGCCTTAGGAGAGGTCCCACTGGACCACGTGAATGTACTGAATGAAGTAGACGACATGACTGGGAAGGTCCTGTCGCGTTTGCTGGATGTTAATCGTGAAGTTAATTTAACGTGCCGCCGCCTCGTGTCAGATAGAGTCGGGCGTCCTCCTCCTCTGCCGAGGGCTCCCCCTTCTCCCGCCACTCGCAGAAGTAGACTCGAGGCGGCTGGGCACAGTGTCAAGCTTGTGAATTCAAGATATAAATGCATTGTCTGTGGCCGCGTTTTTGAGGCCGTGAGGGGAAAGGTTTCCGAGTTCTTCCCTGGTCGGTGTGTGGGGGCGCGACAGATAACGTGCGGGTCGGAGCGTGAGGCCGCGATCTCGCACCCTGGGGCTCCCCGTGCGCACTCGTCCCACGACCTCGCGGTCCTGCGTGGTGTCCTGTTTTGCCGAGTCTGCGCGAGGTTCATGGTACAGAACTCCCAGCTCCTCGGAGAGGAGTGCCCACCAAGTCGCACTCCGACGAAGGCAGGAGCCAGCGTGCTGTCTCGCCTTAGGCGAGGCCTTCCGCCGAAGAGCGGTATGAGTTTCCCAGATCCCTGACGTGTACAGTGGGATCACTGACGGGTTGCTGTGAATGTGTGGCGTGAAGCATGCGCCCTGGCCAGACCAGGTCCCCGCCGAGCGCCCAGTCAGCCAGTCCGTCCTCCTCCTCCTCTTCCTCCACATCCTCCTCCTTGGCTCACGCGCCGCGCTGCAATCCTGATCAGGGCCAGGGTTTTAGGGCTCGAGTTTTTGCTCCGATCCACCTCGCTTGGTCCGCCCCAGGCGCGAGGCAACAAGAACGTCTCCCACCGCTCTACGTTCGGTCTCTCTCTCTCTCTCTCTCTCTCTCTCTCTCTCTCGTGTGCGCTGACGCGCTTGGCTTCGGATCATAGATGGCACCGCGATCCTAGATGCATCTCGTCTGCTCGAGGCGCGGCTGCAATGTCTGGGCTTGGTGCAGCACTTCTGCTCTACGCTGCATGCAGTGTGGCGGTCGTTTCAGGCAAGAGTCTTCTGGTCGGGCCCGCGGAGGAGGTGGCGCGGAACGCGGTGGTGGCAGCAGCGGGGGCGCGGACGGTGGCCGTCCCGAGGACTCCCAGCCGCCCAAGCCAGGCCGCTGGCGCGCAGGCCGAAGTCGGTCTCGCGAACCCAGCCATCCCCCTGGGCTCAGGAGGCAGACCAACTTCTCTTTTGCAGAAGGAGAAGAACCCCAACGAGAAAAAAAAAACAGTCGCCGTTGCGCAGGCTCGGGTCACATTCTGGATGAAGGGGAAGCCCAACGGCGACAAGTACCAAGCCGACCTGGGCAACTCAAGCAGGCCACGGCAGCCGTCTTGGCGTCGAAGTCGCTGGAGCAGCAGGCGCAGTCTATGTCGGATCAGCTCGTAATGCAGAGTCAGAAGCTCCAGCAGCAGTCATCGGAAATGGAGGCCCTGGTTGACGCCATCTTCGAGGCGAGCGACCGCCGCGGCAAGCTGGTGCAGGAGCCCACTGCCACCAAACAGGAGATCCAGTCACTCGAATCACAGCTCAACATGGCGACGCAGGCAGCGATGCCGGCGGCCAACGAGGACGGCGACCTCTTGGAGACGCTCCAGGGCGTGCTGGCAGAACACGTGCTGGAAGGCAGCTTGGCCCCGCCCCGCCAGCGCTTCGGGGCCAGGTCACGGAGCTGGCGTCCCCGTTCGAAGCTGCGTAAGCACACCGCTCTCAGCCTCGGCAGCCTCAGCAGCAACAGCCGTCGGTGCCAGATGGCTTCCCAGCTGTCGGCGGGGGCCCCGAGGAGGAGAGCCCGCGGCAGCAGCGGGCGCGCGGCCATCGGCACGCCCGCGCCGCTCGGCGCCGAGCTCGACGCCATGGGCGAGTCCCAGTCGGCGCGCCGCGCGGCCAGTGCCACCTCGAAGGTCGCGGAGGGCATGGCCGAGATCCAGGGCGCCGAGGGCCCCGAGGCCAAGACGGCCAAGGCGGCAGCAGCAGTGGCAGCAGCGACGGCCGCGCAGAGGACCCGTCGCGGCCTTGACGCAGAGATGCCCTACACCATCACCGCGATCAACGGCTAATGTTGGGGGGCAATGATGGCTTTTGTTGAGCCCAGCGTTGCAGACACTTGAACCTCACCATCTGCGCT